ACTCTCTGCATGCACCCTCTTTTCAGATTTCTGAAGAATCCCAATCTCTCCTCCTTCTCTCTACATCCTCTTCATCTTCTTTCTGAGAAAACACCCACTTTCTCTCCTCCAATCACTATTCCGGGACCGTAGGAGCACTTCCGGCGTCAAGAGCTTCCAAATAAACCGTTCGGTTTGTGAAGCTGGGCTGGTAAGTCCTTCCCCTCGCTCTGTCACTCGTTTCCCTAAACATACAAACCCAGTTCTGGGTTCGTGCGTGGATCACCATTCTTAAAATGAGTGGTTCTGATAGTGTCGGGTTATCACTTGTTGTAGTTTGAATTGTCGAGCGTTGACGGTGGGAGAACCTGTGGTGGGGAAATTGTATTTCGGCATCTGGGAACGTTCGGTCACGCTCAGAGGTAAGGGAAGCTTATTTAATTTAATTTGTATGCTGTTGAAATGTTTGAACGTTCGTTTAGTTGATTGAATGATTTTGATGCATGATGACTGATGTGATTGGATTGAATGAACGTTCGTTGAGTTACTAAAATTAAAGTGAAGTATGACTATTGTGATATTTGACTATATGATATATGATGGTTGCCCTGTCTGATGGATGAAAAATATGAAACTTATATGATATGGATTGTATGAAGTATGAAAGTTGATTATAATATAAATGTATAAACTTATGAAACTATATGTTAAGAAATGAGTTTGAAAATAAACAAGTCTGGTATGAAATTTCTCATATAAAAGTGTACGTTCGTTACTGAATAGTCATTGACCGTTCGGTTTTCTTGGTGAACCTAGTTGAAACGGGATTCTTTCATTTGGAGAAAATCCCAGTTGAGGATAAATAAAAATTTTTTATTTTATTTTGTAAGACAAATATAAGTTTTATTTATTGAATTACACTCGAAATAAAAATTCAATGAATTTAATGATGGAATGTGAACCCTCTAATGTCAAGATTGTGAGGACAATGATTTCTTGTGTGACCTAGTATTTGAGAGAGCAATTTCGTGAGTGTGATCATTACTTCATGTCCATTTCAAATATCATATAATAATCTTCAAAAATAACAAAATAAAATTAATACAAATTTAAAATTAATATTTAAAATAAATTTAATATAACAAAATAATCTTAAAAACAACAAAATAAACAATAAACATCATAAAATAATACAAAATTAAAAATAAATAAAAAATTCAAATATATTCAACGAGTTTCGAAAACTATTAAGACTTTTATCGATTCTTGATCACCATTGAGGCCAACAATTTTGAAAAACTGTTTCAAAACTTGTTAAAGACCTTAATGGTTTTCGAAAGGTCTCATATGTATAACTATAAAAATGTAATGAAAATTATAATAATATCTTCCTTTTAAAGAGTGTTTGTGGTGCAAAGAATCTTGTGGTATCTGTTGTGATGGAGTGTCACGAAAAGAAAAAGAATAAAAAAGTAACTAAAAAGAGGAAATAAGAACAAAGGAAAGAGACAACGGCTAGATTAAAAAAGAAGTGAAAAAGTAAAGAGGATTTTAAAGTTGAAGTGAAAATAAATTATCCTAAATTAAAAGCCTAAACTCATTCCCAAAATCCGTTTTTCTGACAAACGAATTTCAAGCTTTGTTTTTTATTAAAACACCTCAAATAATATTAAAATTCGATCTCTGAAAAACTAAATTCTAAACGTATTATATGTGTAACACAGTATGACATCTGTAAAATCAAAAGCACAATATCTATCATTAATGAAAAACTAAAGATGATAAGCTAGAACACGTAATGATTATATTTACAGTATAATTTAAATTATTTTTTGTTGAAATTATTTATCTATTTGTGCTTCTCTATGGTCACAATGATTTTGAAATTGATGATGAAATTAAATGATGGGAGTTGTTTTATTTTAATCCTAATACTTGTCAAATTGGATTGTTTCAAGAAGACATTGATTATTAAAAAATCTAATTAGTAATTTATCATCTTCTAAACTGATTTTAAATAAAACGAATAATTAAAATATTGATAATAAAATTATTGAAAAATAATTAATAAATATTTTCTAGAATTTAAAATGTTTTAAAACATATTTCAAATAATTTTTGGTGGTTTTGAATCTTCAATAGAAATTAAAAACTAATAAAATAATGATATATTTTGTGACCATAAAAAAAAAAACCACTAGCTAGGAAAAATGAAGAGACGTCATCCAGGACTTTCTTAGCCATTGGAAACTCTTCCTGCTACTTCCACCACATCATCTAATTTCCTAACAAGACAATTGCGGAACAAAAAGGTCACCACCATCTTAGAAATAGTTAAAAACAAAACTGAAATTGAAATAAAAGATTAATGAAATTCACAAGAGAAGTGCCTTCAAAGAAACACTGAAGAATAAAAGCTTCAATTTCCTTTCAAATCAGCTATTCAATGTCAAACAGGACCACACCCTCTACGGTGTCTTTGAGTAAGTAAAATGCATTGTACAGAATCTCAAATTAATGGTGAGCATGGAACATGAACGTAGAAGGTGTTTTCGATATACACGTATCTCAACGTGAAAAGATAATGTCCATTTTAGATTAAATTTTTAAACATTTAGTTTTGATATCACTTTAAAATTTTTCAAATATTTATTTATGTGTATATAAATTTATATTTAATTTTTTTTTATTCGACGTAAGATTTTTTTTTTTTTATTCATAAGAGGAGACAACCTCGTACTATACGAAATATGTGGAAACCATTCGTGAGACTCGTGCAGTAGGAGACGTAGTCGTCGTTTTCTTGGTGGGCCTCTGCACCAAGGAGGCGAGGGTAACACCAAGTTATAATAAGTATGGAAGTTTTTATGTATAGTTATACTATTTTAAATTATTTAAGTTACGTGTATTATGCATTTTGTCCTTTGTTTATTATTTTCACCAAAAATAAAGATTAAATTGAAAGCTAATTTTTCTACTTGAATTGGATTTATATTTTATACAAAACCGATTGGATGGATTAATAAAACATTAATGATTTTTCTTCCAAAATCAGTCCAATTCACATATATTCCTATTTTTTTCCAGGCTGGCTGGTGAATCGTAGATCCTAGTCATGGTTCAGATGCTTTTGTCTCCTCATGCATATGGATTGAGATTCTGAAATGAACCACTTGTAATATCTGTTATCAATATGAAAAATGTTTTTTTAATTACTTCTTTTATTAAATTTTTACAATAATTTATGATAATTTGTGATTATTCTATCAGACCAATAAAATAATAACACATAATAATATATTGTAAAAAAATATTAAAAAATTATTAAAATATCATTATCTATCAATGTATACTCAATGAATCATCTCACAAAACAAGAGAAAAAGACTTATCAATTTAGCCCAACACTCTTTCCTCCAAAACAAAAGGAAATCCCTATCGCTGCCTGTGCAGAGGTCAACTACATTTTTGTTTGAGATTTGATGCCATTTGGAAAGCGCAAAAATAAAACTTATAGTTAGATATTCTATATTTATACCATATTTATAAGTTTTCTCCATTAATACTAATTGAATTTACCAAATGAACATGATATACAACTAGGAAATGTTTAAATACATAAGAAAAAAAATATTCTGTAAACAGGAATTCTGTAGACAAACTATCACAACCCTTGTTCTCTTAGTAATGTAGCGCAATTTCTTACAGTGAATTCCCTTTTTCAGTTATTTTAGAACTGAGACTTTTAATCAACAAGACAAACAATAGTATTAAATATAAGATAGGGAAAGAAAAAATGCATCTTGCAAAGCAGATGCAGATGGAGACTAGAGTTCACCCATCCTTCTTGCACATTTGATACAATCATCCAATATCATCTTTGCATCATATTTGTATACAAATCCTTTGTCACACAGCTTTGTTGATGTCCACTTTATATCCTTTCTCCGCCCATCTTCATTTCTGAAATGTAATTTTCAGATGAAAACTGTAAACAATCTAATAGGAAGAAAACTTGTGCGTTCCAAGACCATACAATCAAGTACAAATTTGATCCTAATCATTCTTAAAGTTACTCCATGGAAAATGTCCTTGTTTAACATCTTTTTGCAGAAAAGATACTACTATTTAGGCCTTTGAGTTAGTTCTTTCAGAAACAAAAAAAAAAAAAAGCAAGAGAAATGATAAATCTAGCAATAACCAAGAACAGGCAATCACTCACTCTTGTTTGACTGTGAATTCTGGATAATAAAGAGCGTAATGGTTAGCCATATCCTGTAATGAAGTGTATGAACTTGCACACAAGAATCTTCCACTGATGGAGGGGTTTTCCATGCAGAAGATATGAGCATCACAGACATCATCAATGTGCACAAGAGGGATTTTACCTAGCAATCCATCTAGAAATTTGAGTGATTGGTAAGCCCTTTCATCTTGCACTATCTGTGCGATGCAAACTGTTCTGGTACTGGGTGAAGATAGAAGGGTGTCACCTCCCACGAGTCCACAAGCAAGTGTTACCACCTCCAATTCTCCACCATTTTCATCATTCCCATAGCTCAACAGATGTTTTTCAGACGATGTCTTTGAAAAAATATAATCCTTTCAAATAACACCAACACAATAATATCAATAATTGTTTTCCTCGTTAATGGTCCAACTAAAAAATTAAAAATTATATTTTAGTCGCCATAACATATTTTATATATAATTTATTTCTGTAATCTTGTAAGTAGGTCAAAACATGTGAGAAGAATTTATGCTACTTTTATCTATCCATTGCAGCCATATATCTTATTATCTTGTTTCAATGGGTTGGTATCTACGGTGATCCAGACAAGTGAAACATGTGCAAACATAGAAATAAACCAGTCCTGATATAAGAAAAAGGATAAGAATGAAAAGTTGGTAACAAACCTTGTAAATAGGATCATCAAGGTATAAGGACTCGTTGAGAGGAGTCCAACAAGTTTCATCCATTACATCTTTGAAACCACCATTTTCTTTCAGCGGAGAGGCTGATACAACAGAAGCAGTGTAGATCAGACGCTTCACCGTCCCTGATCTCACACATGACAGGGCAATGCTTTTCGCACCTGCAACTGCTGCTTCCGTAATATCCCTGTACTGTTATATGCATCTTATCATCACATCACTCATGTATAGTATTAAAAGATTAAAATTATACTTTCAAGAATTTCATCCCATGCCTTAAACAGATTGAGTTATGCATCCAGAGTTAAAGAAACGAACCTGAGATGAACCTGGTTCGTGGATGAAGGGAGTAGCAACATGAAACACATAGTGACATCCTTGAATTGCAGGATCAAATTGAGTTGGGTTGTAAATATCAGCTTCAAACAGAACCAGTTTGCCTTCTGCATGAGGAAGGCTCTTTAGCAGCCCTACCTTTGACTCGTTCTCTGTTGATTATGTTCCAAAATATGAATAAAAACTCAGATGTGACAGAAAGAGAAAGAGAAAGAGACAGAGAGAGAATACTGACTCAAATCTCTGAGAGTTGCATGAACAGTATAACCCTTGGCCAGTAGCTTCTTGATGAGCCATGAACCTATGTAACCACTGCCTCCTGTAACACATACCTTGCTCCCTTCTCCCATTTTTCCTACTCTTTTCAATGAGACTCACGCCACAAACACTTACAACTCTAGTGAAATAGGTTTTGAAGAAATATTGCCAAAACACTCTTTAAATACACCGTTAGATTTCAGATTGTCATCCAACCGCATATCCTATCACCCACTCAATTTATTTTAGAGTTATGGTATCCATATTATTTTATATACTACCACTCTGCAATTATTTTCATTATTTTTTTTATTAAATGTCATAATTTAATATTTTTATTAAAATTATCAAGCAACTGTTTATAAAAAAGGTGATTCTGAAATTTTTTTTCTTTTATTTTATTACATTATAACAAAGTGATCATTAAAACTATATTTTTATTAATTTTAAATGTTGATTTTAGAACCTGGTTTTTCTCTTATAAAAAACTTTTCAAATGTGAGTATGGTCCATCCACTCATAATATCTGGTGTCAATATAATACTTTAGTATGACTTTTCAGATAATTATATGATGTCTATCTCTTTTATGTTTTTAGCACATAGTATTTTGTTTTCTTTTGTTGATATAGTTTTCGGAACTATTTTTTATTTAAGAAACTCTGAGATCATAATTCAACTTCGGATATTGGTGCCAATAATTTTGAACTAAAACGTGACGAAACAAACTTCGGAAAGTGATTAACATGGATGTCTCTATATATTATGCACTTCATTACTATTATTTAGTATAAATTTTGTCCTTCTTTAAATCATATCTGATAATTTATTATATTTTTATTTCTTTTATCTTCTAATAATTTAAATTATTAAATTTGTTATATTTAGGATATATATTTATATTACTCAATTTATTTGTTGATACAAGACGCTTGCAATTTAAGTTAGAGCGTTTCACCTTGGACCTCCAAATTTCCAAATTTTTATCCTGCACCTCTTGTTAAAAATATCCTTACCGAAGCTCAAAAACTGGCTAAGAAAAAACCTTAAACGGTTGGCGGTTAAGTTTTTTTTTTAATTTACTGTTTTATTTTTATTTAGTAATAATAATAATAATAATAATAAACAATTAATTAACTTAATATTTTTCATATAATTATTATTATTTATATTTTCATATAATTTAATAAATAATTATTATTATTATTATAAATAAAAACAAAAATTTTATTTAAGGTGTGCCACATTTCTGATATCTCCATAAATTTTACAGATTTCAAGTTCATTCTTCAATAATATTAATTAAAATTATATAATCTCAGAAAACCCTTTGCGCGGACCAAATGTAGTTGCGTTACGTACGGAAAAACCCTTTGATTATGTTTGGACATGAGTGTCACAAAACAGAAAAATAATACGTAGAAGATTAAAACATTCATTGATAAATTTTCATTTAAATTTGGCAACAGAAGTCAATTTGATATTTTTAAATAAAATGGTGAAATAGAAAAACTATTATTATCTCCTTTTCTAATACGCGATAGATTTTTAAAAGTACTTGCATTTATTTTAAAGATTATATTTTTTTAATAGACTGAAGTTCTTTTACACTAAAATGCAACAAATTAATTTTTAAAAAAGATGTGATATTACATTTTTATGTTAGTGATATAATATTTTTTATGCTAAAAATATAAATTCAAATTAGAGTAGTTATGGATTATTTAATTTGCTTATTTTTTTTATTGCAAATAATAAATAACACATTGTAGAGGTTTTTTATGATGAATTGTCCAGTGAAATTTTTTGTTAGAAATATATCCTATGTTTACACAAGACATTCTATAATGATTTTTTTTTATAACTTAAGAATCTAACTGGAATTTTCTATTAGAATTATATCCTATGTTTATAGAAGACATTCTATTTTATAACCTAAGAATCTAACAATAAATATATGGAAAAAGTTTTTTTATGGACATAGTTTTTCCTAGAGTGACAACGACAGTAATCTACCCACGCGTCAGCTACTTAGAGCACTCAAAACTGTCCAAGAGATAAAATTAAAATAAATAAAATTATATAACACCTCAAACTAAATGACATTTCATAACAGAAAAAAAAAAGTAATATAATAAGTGAAAATATATAATAATTAAAGAAAAAAATATTAGATATACTAATTTAATATTTAAAAATAAAAAATATCCATATATCAATACTTATAAAATTTTTAAATTAAGTATTTCTAGCTCAGAAAATTGTCTCCTAGCAAGAGATACTAAAGAAATTGGATAACATTTATCAATCTCCATCTCGTTAATTGTCATGATGAGTGTAACATAAAAAAATAATATTAATTTTACTATAAATCTAAATCTAAAAGAAGAATTAAATATATATATATATATATATATATATATATATATATGTTTACTAATTATGTAACTTCTTGTAACAAATTTTAGTTGAAAAATACTTTTATATATCATAACTTTTAAATTTTAAGGTTAAGAATATTTAATAAAAATTAAAATTATTAAAATACTTTAAAGTATGTTTTTTTTTATAAATATAAATTTTTTTAACAACTAAAATTTGGTTATTTTGAAGAAATTTCATAAGTTAGTAAAACTATATATATATATAATAACCGGATTTAGAAATTTATTAAATTTTGAAATATAATTTAAAAATTAATCAAATTTTAAAATTTAGTTTAAAAGCTCATTAAATTTCGAAATTTAATTTAGAATATTATCTTGAAATCTAATTTAGAAAATTCAGTAAAATTTAAATTGAATTAAAAAAACTTATTGAATTTTGTAATATAAAATAGGCTGGGAAGTGATTGACTCTTGAATATTGAAAAAAAAATGACTTAATTGCTGCGTAACAAAACTAATAATAAGTTTAGTATTTGTTAAGTAAGTAACGTGACCAATAATTCTTTAGAGAGAAGTTTCAAACAATATTTTTGTTGATTAAAGATAAGACCATATTGAGTTGAATAATTCCAAGACCTACATATATTTGAGAATATGGAGATCTTTGATGTGAAACTGAATATGGAAATGTGCTTTGAAAACAAAAAAATTGCCATGCCATTGTACATCATTAAACAACTATGATAAGAATATAAGACTTTTTAATAAAGAGTGATTTGTAGAACTTTGAACGAAAGTTATTTTTTTATTCCATTGGCTTCTTTAAGTTCATACAAAATATTTGTGCAAACATTCATAAAAAATATTTTGAGGGAGATTGATTAAATTAATTTGAGAAGATTTGAAGGTGAATCTTTTGTTATTTAATTGAGTTGATTTTGAAGGTAAGTGAGAGTGAATTTGAAAGTAAAGTTTGTTAGAATTAGTATAGAATTTGATTGATGTGACAGATTAAAAAAATTTACTTCTAAATACACTCTCACTTACCTCCAAAATTCACTCAAATAAACAACAAAAAATTTATCTTCAAATTCATTCAATTACTCTCCTCCAAGTCCATTCAAGTATTCAAGTGAACAAAGTGTAAAGTTTTTTTTATCATGTAAGTTGAAATGAAGAAAACATTTAGTACAATTGGTATATCCCATAAAAATGCATTTAGATGCATGGGTGATCAAGCTTGCTTCTCCCCCAAAAGACAAGTTGTTGTTAAAGCCAAGCAACCAAGTAGCTACTAGGGTTAAAACTAAAACAATGTGATAAAACAAAAACAAATATTTATCGTACCATGTGAGGAGAAAACCAAAAAAAAAATGAGATAAAATCAATCAAGAAAGAGAAGCGACTAAAAAACTAAAGAAAAAAGATTTAATAAACATTAAATCTTTTATTCAAATCTCTCCAACAAAATAATATACAAAGTGTAACTTATATTTACAAAGAATACATACTCTTGTTGATATCAAAACTCTAGCCAGCAAACTCAGGTTAGAAACAGACCAAGAGAATTAACTTCCCAAATAACAGCCAAATTCAAACTCACATATTTAGGAAACATGTATGAGTATGTTGTTTGTCAATTAAATCAACAAACAAATTGACAAAATGAAAAGAATCTAAATGAATTAGTTGTTACCGAAACCATGGTTAAACATTAGTTTCATTTTATGAAGAAAATAAAATTATTTGTTGTAGAACTGCAGCATGTGCAAATGGTTTCAAATATTTAGCATCCTGTGCTCAAAAATTTTTTAGAAGACAAGGTAGACAGATACTTTTTAATATATATTTTCTAGCACGTCTTTTTAATAAATGTAAGACCCACAAATATTTGATAATTTTTAATAACATAGTTATATATAATCAGTAGAGACTAGAGATCGCCCATCCTTTTTGCACATTTGATGCAATCAGCTATTATCATCTTCAGGTCATGTTTATAAACAAAACCTTTGTCTGTCAGCTTTGTAGATGCCCATTTTATATTCCTTTTCGGTCCTTCCAAATACCTAAAACCAAATTTCAAATATATACTCGTCAAATCAAGATGTACGTATTTAATTTGCAGTTGAACAGTTAAGTTTTCATTTATTTTTTTCAAATTTAAAGAAAAACAGTGGTTGCATTTGTATGCTGTATACCTCGGTTGAGTGTCTGGTTTAGTACCTCTCAAGAATTTCTTAAGTCTAGCACTATTGTAGAACATGTGCACAATGATGGTTGGAATGTTTAGACCTATTGGAATAACAAAGGGCAGAACCATGATGAGGCATTAATCCGGTTGGACAATTTATGGTATAACAGCAATCATGATGTGAGGCTGATGGGAAAACAGAGACTTCGTTAGTCATCTCAGTTTGATGGCAGTAACCATGCTGATAACGAGGTGTTGTGCAGTAGCTATGAGGATCATGGACCGCGATGTTACTCTGAAGAGAAGCAATGTGGCAAGCGTCTGCTATAGAGCAGCAGCTTAACACCTCAGTGCGGATCTTTAGGTCGCAAAAGGAGTTTCTTACCGGTGAGGAATAACACTGAATGGTACAAGTGAAGAAGGCAGTAGGAATCAGAATTATGTATTATTCGGTTTGCTAGAAGGTGTGGCAGGATACTGGTGATGCAGGTAGATAGCTGATAATGGCGAGGAAACTTGGGGAAGGTAAATTGACAGCTAATTGTGATATCAAATAACTTGGGGAAGGTAAA